TTACTTAGATTTGGATGTCATTTTGACGTGTCTGCTACCTGGGAGAGGTCTCAGGCTCGAATCTCAGCAATCCCCATATAGCATAGAAGCTTGCAGCAACATTGCTACAACGTTGTAAGATTGCATATTGCAGTGCAATGTTGCAGAGACTTTGCAGTGACATTAATTTGCAATATTACTTTAGCAATATTGCAGTAATATTTAAAAAAATATTAGGAATATAATATATTTTATTTATTTACTAGTTATTTTTGTTACTTGTATTTCAAATTCAGTAATGTTTTACATCAATAATACTTATAGAATAGTACTTAGAATAGCACTCGTTAGTGGCAATCATTAATTTATCTTATTGCATATTTTTTATATTTCTTATACCGTTTTTTCGGAGAAAATACTTTCTTTAGATTTAATATTCGTACTTGTTTAATTTTGTGTTTTTTTTTTATTTCATTAAAATATTATATTCTTAAACGAAATATCATTTTTTAAAATGATGAAAATAAAGCTTTTATTTCGTTCAAAGAAACCATGTCATTTTTTGAAACAACACTATTGTTTTAAATAATATACCCAGCAAACACAGAACATAACTGTGATATAACACAGGAGTAACATGTAATATAACTGCTGTTATACATTATTAATATTGAGGTTACTTTCCTTAATAAAGTTAATTTCCTTTATAACTGCGATATAACTGTTCGGAAATCACACCGTTGGCGGAATCCCACCAGTGAGCGCGAACGTTAGAATCCGGCGCTCTCTATGTGTATATATATATATATGTATGTGTATATATATAGTCGCTCGTGAGTTAGCGGAATCACCGTTAGGCGTCGCGGAATGGAGAGGCTTCTCGCAGTGAAATTTCAGCCAAAGCGCCTATAAGGGTGAGGCCGATGGAGAGACTCGGGGAATAGTTTTCTGTACTTGTCCGGTCCTTGTGACCATACGCGGCCCTAGCGCCGGTGGGAGCCTCAGGGCAGCAATCATGTAACTTCAAGCGGAACTTTTCGCTTTTCACAATTCCGTTTGTCAAGATTCCGCGTGAATTTTTTCACGAATCACAGAGCGATTACGTATCGAGATTTGTGAAAAATGAAATCACTAAACACATTGTAACATTGGGTGCAGAAAAATACTAGTATTACTAGTAACATTAGTAGAAACCGCGAATCCTTGAATATTTAGAAGTGCGTACTGCGAGAGAAAGATATACAGGGTGTTCAAAACGTCCCGGACCGGTGAAATATCTCGAAAACTAAGCATTTTAGAAAAAAATGTTTCAGATAAAAGTTGTGGCATTTAAAAAGATGTATTTACTGATCACATCAGTTTGACCTTGGGTTGCGTAGCGAAGGTCAGGTCAAGGTCACATTAATTTTTTTAAATGGAACACCCCATTTTTCATTGCATATTCTTATAGCACATCTCGAGAGCTTTCCAAAAC